TCCCTGTCCGGAGCATGCAGGCTGCAGATCACGTCTCTGCCCTGGCTCCATACCATGCTGTCACCACCTCAAAATCCCAGTTGGGCTCTGGAGCAGCTCCGCACCCTGCTAGCACTGCTGGGGCCACTCTCCACGGAAACCCCAATCTTGCACTATCACAGCGCGGCTGCGGCTGCTGCTGCTGCTGCTGCTGGGGTCTCCATGGAAACTGGCCCCAGCCACGTGGGCAGGGGCTGCTGGGAAATGGAGTCCAGCCGCCGGCTAGATCTGCCATTTTGCCCACCCCTGCTTTATTGGCATGCGGTATGAAAAAGAACTTCCTTTAGTTTTAAACTTACCACCTACTTGTTTCATTCTGCGAACCTTAGTTCTCATCTTGTGACGCAAGATTAGCACAGCCGGTCCTCGGACTTATGACACAATTGGTTCCTGAACAATGTTTGACTTAAGATGCAGTTTAACTTGGAATCAATTTTCCCATAGGAAGCAATGTTATAAATGGGGATTGGTTCATGAACCAAGGCCCGATACCCTATTTTCACCAAAAATAACCCAGAATTTTGTACTCAGTCAATTATAGACGAGTAATATAGCTACATTAATGTATTTACATTATAAATTGCAATCATATTGATTTGGAAGGACTTCTTTGAAGTGACTTTGCTGGACCTTTTGAAGGGTTCTTGGCTGGAGGCTTCTCAGGAGTCTTGGCCGTAGGTTTTTCTGGAGTCTTGTCTGCTTTCTTAAAGGAAGTGTCCAAGGAAGTTTGGACAGACGTTCTCCAGGGAGATGGGTGATGCAGCGAACTTGTTCGCTGATGTGGTATGGCATTGGATCAAGTGTTGTAAAGTCAAAACTGACGTCAGAAAGTTGAAACGGTGTCAATTTATAAACGTTGTAAGAGCGAAGCGTTGTAAGTCGAGGACTGCCTGTAACTAATAAATCTCTATTGACTTTCTTTTCACCATTTAGTACTTTGTAAACCTTTATTGTGTCCCCCCTCAAGTGTCTCGTTTCTACACTGAGTAGGCCTAGCCTCTTACGGTAAACCCTCCATACCGCTAGTCATCATGTTGCCCTTCTCTGGACCTTCTCTAGTTCTTCTATATCCTCTTTGAGGTGGGGGGACCAGGACCCGGGCGCAGTTTTCAAGGTGTGGATGCACCACAGATTTATAAAGGACTATCACAATACTTTCAGTTTTGTTTACAGTTCCCTCCTTAATAACACCTACCGTTTTGTGTGCCTTTTTGATGGCTGCTGAGCACTTTGCTGATGTTTTTAGCGAACTGTCCTCAATGATTCCCAGGTCTCTTTGCTGTGTGGTAACGGCTAACGTGGGGCCCAGCATCGCATAGGTAGAGTTTGGGTTATTTTCACCCATGTGCTTCACTTTACATTTGTCAACATTGAATTTCACCTGCCCGCTCGCTCAGTAGCGCCAGATCTTTTTGTAGTTCCTCACGGTCAGTCTTGGTCTTTACTACTTTGAATAATTTTGTGTCATCCATGAATTTGACCACTTTGCTACCCGCCCTCTTCTCCAGATCATTTATGAATACGTTAAGCAGCCCTCTGGTCCCAACACAGGTCCCTGGTGGACCCTGGCGTTTACGTTTTTCTATCCTGATAACTGACCGTTTATACTAACTGTTCGTTTTCTATTTGTGAGACAATTTCTGATCTACAAATGGCCATTCTCTGTAATCCCATGAGTACTTAACTTAATCATGAGTCTCTGATGGGGGATCTTATCAAGGTTTTTTGGAAGTCCAGATATATTATGTCAACTGGATCACCTGGATCCACCTGCTTGCTGACACCTGTAAAGGACTCTAGTAGGTGAGGCATAATTTCCTTTTGGCAAAGCCATGTTGATTCCTGCCCAGCAAGTCCTGTTCATCTATATGATGAACTTTCATTATTGTTTTTTTTGTACCAGTTTTCCAGGAACAGAAGTTAGGCTCACCAGCTTGTAGTTTCTTATGTTCCCTCTAGAGCCTTTTTTAAATATGGGACTCACGTTGGCATCCCCCAAGTCCTCTGGTACCAAGACTGGTTTTAGTGATGATTAGGTTACATACTTCAGTGAGGAGCTTAGCAGTTTCCCACCTGAGCTCCTTCAGGGCCCCGGGGTGAATGCCATCACATCCTGGTGATTTGCTGCTGTGTCATTTATTAATTCCCCATGACCTCATCTATTAAGGGCTCAGTTTGGGTCAGCTCCACTGACTTGTCCCGAGAGAGGAGTGGGTCTGGTGGGGGAATCTCCCTGACATCTTCCACAGTGAAGACAGGTGCAAAGAATTTATTTAGTTTCTTGGCAATGGCCCTGTCATCTTTTAGTGTCCCTTTCACACCCTGATCATCCAAAATCCCAGCTGGCTTCATGGCAAGTCTTGGGCTTCTAATGTACTTAAAGTAATTTCGGTTGTTACTTTTTGTGTCTCTAGCAAGTTTCTCCTCAAAGTCTTTCTTAGCTTGTCTTATTACAGTTTTACATTTGATTTGCTAGAGGTGATGCTCTTTTTTATTTTCCCCATTAGGATTTGACTTCCACCTTTTGAAAGAAGCCTTTTTTTCAGCTCATTGCCTCTGCAACTCTGCCGCTAAACCATGCTGGCTTGCTTTTGGTCTGCTTTCCTTTTTTTTGATTTTCAGTCCGCTTTTGCTCTGTGCCTCCAGTATGGTGTTCGTAAGTGGTTCCCGTGCTGCTTGCAAGTTCCTCACCTCCTTAGGGGCCCCTTTTAACTTCTGTCTAACTAGCTTCCTCATTTTAGTGTACACTCCCTTTTTAAAGTTAAAGGCTACTGTGGCCAGTTTTCTTCTTGCCTCCCCTCCTGCATGGATGTCAAACCCAGTTGCCTGGTGGTCGCTATTGCCGAGAGGCTCAGGAACACTTACTTTGTACCAGATCCTGTGCACACCTTAGGGGTAGGTCAAGAATGGCCTTTCCTTTTGTTGGTTCCTGGAAGAACTGCTCCAGGAAACAGTTTTATAATGTCAAGAAACGTGCTCTCTGCGTTCCAGCTTGATGTTTGATTGACCCAGTCTATTTGTGGGTATTTAAAATCGCCCATTATCAATTACTCTGTTTTTCTACTGCTGCAGCCTCATGTCTGAGAAGCTGAGAGCTTATTTGCAAGGGGAAGGTGTGATGGGGCCACTGCTGTCTTGGAAAGTGCCTTGTAGGTTCATGGCAATGAAACTGGCAGGGCTGGTTTAGTCAGGGAAGATCCCGTCCTAAGTAAGGGCCTGGACTAGATGACTTCGAGGTCCCTTCCAGTCCTACTTTCCTACCATCCTAGAAAAAGACAGTAAAAAAGTTTGTTAGACAAGCAGGTCTGTTGTATTAGCAACGTGCCTTTTTTCATCTCTGGTTCTGTGCAGTTGTCTTCTATAAATACAACTTTGTCTTGTGTCAACTGATAAGACAGACATGATGGCTAAACCTCTGCTCATCATGAGGTGATAAGTCTGCCGGGGGTCTGTTTGTCGTGTATGAAGATGGAGCTTTGCATTCGCAGTTTCTCCCATTTCCACGGGCTGCGTCTCCGTATTGAAAAGTTGGGGGCTGCGGGCCAGACGGAAGAGTTCTGCAGCTTGCACGTTTAGCGGTCCCTGTAAATTGCCATTTCTTCTGTCTGCGTTTTAACTTGAGCTTTTTCAGATACGGTGTGAAAGGTTCTTGGATTCATGTTTATACGGCGTTTGGACAGTACAGTGCTTAGTGAAAACTAGGGGTTTTTTTTATTATTCTTTTTCAAGTGCGTCGGAGGCAGGCAGCTCCCAGAAATGCCTACAGAATTCCACTCTCGTTCCTTGCCAACAGAATTATGCTATCAGATGGATGGCGGCTCCGTGGCTGCGCAAGCTGCTGTTATTCACTCATTTACCAGTAGACAAAGGTGCTTTATTTCACGCTCCTGTTCAGACCATAATGATACTATCCTGATGCCCGGACTCTATGCAAGAGACACTTTTACTTGGAAACTACTTCTCGTTTGGTATGAGCAGGTTACATCCAGGATTGGCTTCCAGCTTTGTGTCCTGAACTATATGGGTGGGAGAGGGAAGTTTTGTGTCATGCTTAAACAGCCTGCCTTGGGACATGTCTCTGGAGTGACAATGATGGGCTGTGGTGGCAAATATGAGTGCCAGCCTTGGTCACACCTCTCGAAGCGTGGGTGGGATGCAGTTATCCCCAGGATAACTGGTCCTGCGAGAGCCCAACAAAGATGATCACCTCAAGAGTACCATAGAGTAGTATGTACAAGCAAGGATTGTCCAAATATCCTGTCTTAAATTTACAATGATCTGCCTTCTGGTGTGGCCATCAAATTCAGTCTCCTGGGCCGTGTCCAGATGAGCGCGGATGTGTAGTGTGTGGCACGGCAGACCTGCCTGCAGCGCCACACACTGCCCATTCACGTGTTCCTTGCACTGCTACCTTGCGTGGAGGGGAGGGGGGCGTTGTTGACCCCAGGAGATCCTAGGATCAAAAAACCCATGCGGAAAAAAAAAAAGCGGGGTGGCAGCGTGCACCACCCAAAACCAGAGCCTGGCCATCCAGAGCTGCACTCCAGCTGCCGGCCAGGCTCCCAGCTGCAGGAGCAATGTGGCTGCAGCTTCCTTGGCCCCCAGGACCCCAGGTGAGGCTGCTACGCCCAGCACAGTTGCTGGCTCTAGCCTCCCCTTCCCCACTTCAGATAACCTGCTGCGTGCCAGAGCGCATGTGGCACAGGTGTTCCCCAGGGACAAGGAGCAGTGGCACAAGGTGTGCCATGGCTACTTGTCCCTGGGGAACCAAATGTCTGCGCTCGTCTAGACGTGGCCCTAGAGAGTAATTGTAAGACAGATGGTCAGTCTTGAGGAGCTTGGGGGGGACTCAGATCAGAGGCTGAGACTGCACAAAAGGGTCAGTCCTAGTTGGTGAGCAGTATCCATGTCTGTAGTCCAGGCAGTACCAGAAGTTAGGAGCCCGGGAATCCAGAAGGCGCACACAATGTAAGTGGGACCAGGGAAATGGGCAAGAACCAGGCTTGAGGGGGAACAGGAGCAGCTGCTTCGGGTTGTGAAACAATGAGCAGCCAAAGTCCAAATAAAGGGCCTGGCCTTACAAGCCAGGTCCAGCCTACTGTGCAGCCAGCGAGCTTGACTCTGCAGCTGGTGCCCCTCTGAAACCAGGTGGTCCTGCGGAGGTGGCAGATTCTCCTAACATCAACCTCCATTGGGCAAGGTAACTTCTGGTCCCTTTCTCCAAGCTGAATGGTGGGAGCATGGCAGGAGGGATGCTCAGCCCCATGTTATTGCCATGCCTTAGTGGCATTATGTCTGTTCTGTGATCTTGTCTCCCTTCACAGTAGCTCTTAATGGAAGAACACGGAGTGACCCAAACAGAACACATGGCCACTATCGAGGCCCACGCCGTGGCCCAGCAGGTGCAGCAGGTCCACGTGGCCACCTACACTGAGCACAGCATGCTGAGCGCGGACGAAGACTCGCCCTCTTCGCCAGAGGATACTTCCTACGATGACTCGGACATTCTCAACTCCACTGCCACCGATGAAGTCACTGCCCACTTGGCTGCTGCAGGTAAGGTTACCTGGGCATTCGGGAACATTTGCTTAGTGCCTCATCATTCACACTTAGGTCACAGTAGCTTTCCAGGTGGTAGTCCAATGTGGTGAGCTGCTGTCAGGACTGATGTGGGGGCAGGGGTTCCCAGGACTTCTGGATCACGTTAGGTTTCCTCTTGGTGCGCCACAGTGGTTTCCTCTTGGGGCCCTTGCAAGTGCTGCTGCGTGGAGCAACATGTCCGTGATGTCCATGAGGTGACAACATTGGAGATAAGACATTCATTTCTGAAGTATAAGCCCCAGAGGCGTCTGCTGTACAAAATAGTGAAAAGATTGCACCGGTGCAGGTGGGGACTGACGGGCTGGGCAGCAGCTCTGCAGAAAAGGACCTGGGGGTGACAGGGGACAATAAGCTGGATATGAGCCAGCAGTGTGCCCTTGTTGCCAAGAAGGCTAACGGCATCCTGGGCTACATTGGTAGAAGCGTTGCCAGCAGGTCAAGGGAAATTACTATTCCCCTTTATTTGGCACTGATGACGCCACATCTGGCGTCAGTTTTGAGCGCCCCACTATAGAAAGGATGTGGACAAACTGGAGAGAGTTCAGGAGATGGAAGCAAAAATGGTTCAGGGCTGGGAGACGTGGCTTGTGAGGAGCGGCTGAGGGAACTGGGCTGATTTAGTCAGGGGATGAACAGACTGAGGGGGGGTTTAATAGCAGCTTTCAACTCCCTGCAGGGGGGTTCGAAAGAGGATGGAGCTGGACTGTTCTCAGTGGGGGCAGATGGCAGATCAAGGAGCAACGGGCTCAAGTTGCAGCAAGGGAAATTGAGGTTGGATATTAGGAAAACATTTCTCATCAGGAGGATAGCAAAGCAGTGGAGCAGGTTACCCAGAGAGGTGGTGGAGTCTCCATCCTTGGAGGTTTTTAAGACCTGGCTAGATAATGCCCTGCCTGGGATGATGTGGTTCAGGCTGGTCCTGCTTTGAGCAGGGGGTTGGACTAGATGTGACCTGAGCTCCCTTCCAACCCTCATTTTCTATGAATGCAAAAATGTCACAGGCAAATGGGTTTAATCACTGAATGGGAATAGTCTGACATAGAAAATAGTACAAATAACCCGCTAACTGCCACACCATCCAGGCTGGAAAGGAAACTCACCCAGATTTGGCTCGACCCAAAAGGATGCTTGAGCCCATTAGTGGAATTTTCCATGCAGGATAACAAGACAAAGTCATAGGCCTTTCCCAGAGAAAGCCCTTGAAATTTCATCCTGGGTTGGTTTTAACCCTACTGGTTTAAAATACAAAAAAGATGACTAGTCACCATCTGCCCTCCTCTCATGTCAGGCTTTCTCTTGGAACGGTAAAACTTTGATGTCCATTTGTTGAACTGAAGGTGACCTGCAAGACTATAAACAGTCAATGAAACTCACCTGTATTACTTAGTGCCATGAAGTAAGCATCAGGGCCGTATGACATGGAAATGTGTGGAAAACCTTGAAGTCTCAAGGGACAAGGAGGTGAAGCACAGCATCACACAGGAGAGCAAGTCCTGGGCGCAGCGGGGTCAGAATTTACAGCCAGATTGCTCAGGTCCAGGTGGGATCTTTTGGGTGAGACGTGGGATAGCAACTATGACTTAAGGGCCATGTAGGTCTTAGGAAAGTAGAGGGGAATAGGAAGGAGATCCAACCACAGGGACCAGGGCAGATGTAGCTGGGAAAGAGGTGTGAGCACATGGGGCAATAATCAGAAGCTCGGAGGGAAGAATGACTCAGTGAAATTTGGTATGAAAGCCAGCAGAGGAACTCCAGAGATGCAGGTATGTGGGTTGGGGTCACAGCAGTTTTCCCTGTGAACTTCTAGGAGTGGTCACCAGAGGGCATCATAATACCAATTGCGCTCATCCAAAAGCCGGCTGCTGCAGTGCTGATCGCTAGCCGCCTGTGCCTGCTGAAATGGAGAGCGATGATTATTTATGAATTCAGGATAGAAACTGGGAGTACTAGTGTTTGGCCAGAGATGCCCTGTTTCTCTTTCTGCTTAACTGCTTCCCTTCCTGATCATATCACTACACAACCAATACCCATGTAAATTGGGCTTTGAGTCGCACATCACGTGAAATTCTAGTGTTCATGAGTACGAAGGCCTCCCCGTGTCTGCACTTCTTCTGGTAGAAGGGCTAAGTTGCCGTCTCTTTCCATCTTAAAGTGACTGCCTGATAAAACAGCAGCAGCAGTAGACGCCCTTCTCCTTCTCCCCTCATACCTGGAGCAGAGGTCAGCCCCTCCATGGTTGGATCAGGGGGAGAAGCTGTCTCGAAGATATGAAGATTGCTGCGTCTTCTAGAGAGAGATAGCTAATCTTAGATCACTGAAGCACCATGGTACGATGCTTAATTTTTGTGGCGCTTAATCTTTCTGCAGCAACTAGCCACCAGACTACTAAATGAACAGTCTTCCATCAAGAATGAAATAGGTTTTGAAATATTGTGTTGGGGAAACTGAGGCAGGGGACAGGTGTTTCTTGTTCAAGAATCCAGAAACAGGAGCAGGATCCAGAGCTTCCTGACGTCGTGCTCCATTCTGATACCGTCAGGCATCGACTGCCCCTGCCCCTCAGCTCAGTTTGATGATGGGGGGTTTGATTTGTTTTAACCCTGTGGTTGCTGCATTCCTTGCAATCCATCAGGGACATTGCTGTTTCCTGGCAGCGTGAGGTCACTTCTGTCCTGATAGTTGTGGGACATTGGAAGATTTTACGGTTCATAGTGCCTTCCCCAGTCATGTTGGCAGTAGCAGCAGCAGGCGTTTGTGCCGAAGGGATGTTGCCTGGTAGTTTCCACGTAGTCTGTACAGAGCCACTTGACTTGCATCACCCATGTAACAATAGGCATGGCAGTCAAAGATCTAAATGCAGGGACTTGCATTAAAGACATGGGTACAAGTGCATGTGACGTGGCCTCTCAAGCCACCTCTGACCCAGAGAAATCAAAGAACCTGCATTTAAATACTGAAGGTTTAAGGTAGAAAAGCCTTCTTTAAGCTGGGGGTTTCCATTCTTCCGTAGCCTTGGAGAAGGAGAAATCCAGTATTTTTTCCACTCCTTAGTGATTCTCCTGGATTTAAACCCTTGTGCAGGGTTTGGACTGGGGTTTGTTTCGTTTGCATTGGGTAGAAAGAGGCAATCAACCCCAAATGCCAATTATGTCATTAGGAGAGGCCTGTGAAATACATCTAGGCAACTTTCACCTGAGGTCCGACTTGCGGCCAGGGCCGGATGCAGGCATGGGCGAACCAGGTGGCTGCCCAGGAACCAGACAGAAAGAGGGCCCAAAAATGGTAATTTTTTTCCATTGTCCGATTATTATAATTATTTCTGGCAAAGGGGGGTCCAATACTAAAAGTATGCCTGGGACCGCCAGGAGTCTAGGTATGGTGCTGCTTGCGGCCGGCTGGCCTGGGTGGCGTTGGTTGAAATGCTGTGATCCAAGATGGGGGGAGATCTCACTGCTTTGTGAGAGCTTTGTAAGCAGTTCTGGTTTCTTTGCTCTTGCCGTGGATGGGAGGCGGATGGGGCGAGCCCTTCAGCCCTGGTCCAGCTGGTGTAATGGTCCGTTCCCCCTTGTCCAGGTAATAAACTCTGCTCTCATTGGGCCTTTGTCATTTGTCTACAGGCCCAGTGGGAATGGCAGCCGCCGCCGCCGTGGCAACGGGTAAAAAACGAAAACGGCCTCATGTTTTTGAGTCCAACCCGTCCATCCGCAAGAGGCAGCAGACACGCTTGCTACGGTAAGTCCCTCTCCTCCCACAGCTGCTGGCCCCGTCCACCTCTGTGTCCCAGTGCCTGGCTGTCACTCACGAGACCCTGGGTTGCTCAAAGCTGAGGACCTACTTGGCAACCTTCCTGGAACCTGAGGGCCGTGTTCCCTTTGCATAAATGGCTCCAGTTGCAGCTCTTATGTCTCGGCTATGCCAGCATGGCCCCAGGGGGCTGGAGGGGCCGTTCTGGTGGCATGCACGATTCATTTCTATTTCTCCTTGCTCACGCATTCAGTCCGTGTCACTCTGAGCTTTTTTCCACTTGAATTCTTAATAGATATAGTAACGGTTGTCTTGAAAACCCCTGGAGTGGCCGTGCCCCAGGTCTGGGTGGCAGAAAGCACTTCTTCCTATTGCCCCAATGCCTTCATAACCAAGATTTGTACTGTGCTATGAGCTGTGACTCCCTTGGAAGCCCTCCCGGCTTCCTTTGCATCCGTACCTGCCCTCCCTCGTCCAGGAGAGCCTGCCACAGCCCTTTGACTCCCATGCTGAAAAGTGATATTGCCAGCACTGCAGCCCTGGGGGAGGGGAAGTTTCTTGGTCAGAAGCTGAAGCAGCTTTGGAAACTATGGGGCCTGCTGCACTGTGGGCCAAAAAACTTATCTAACCCTTTAAAACAGTTGTTTTAAAGCAGGGGCATCAAACAGCTGGCCCATGGAGCTGTGGCATCTAGCATCTCCAGGAGCTGCACAGGCCAGGAATTTGAGAGCAGAGCAAATAGGTGGCAGGGCCCACTGCCGAAATCCATGGGACAGAGCCCTGTTAGGACCGTGTTTTGGTTCAGTGGGGTGGGGGAAGCAATAGCTGCGGTAACCTCCCTTTTCCTCTGCCATTGCTCCCTGACACTGCTTGCTCTGCCTCTAGAGGTGGGTCTGGACCTGGACCGCTTTGCTAGCCGTGTTTGAAAGGATCTCCAATGCCATTGATCTGCCGGCTGGCAGATTAAAATAAGTCCTCATTTTCCAGGATCTTGCAAAGTTCAGTTGTGGAAAAATCAGGACAAGCCATTACCCAGAATGCTTCCAAATCTCCAATTGCTTCCCATGCAGCAATTTTCTTTTCCCCCCCGCAGCCTTTTATGACAGCTTTTTTGAGCGGTCTCAATGGTTTCCTTCCCCGTTTTTGCCATAAAACAGCTAGCATCTGGGTTCCTCGCCCCTGTTTTTCGTCCTCCTACTTTGTGAGTTTTCAGAAGTAGGTGAGTGACAGTTAGTTTCATTTTACCTCTGCTTAGTCATCTGCTGAGTTTCATGATTGCACTTGTATGTGACCAGACAGAAAGGGGAGAGCAGAGTTACTATTTATTATTAAATAATGTGCATCTGAAGTAGCTGGCACAGTTCATTTTGGTTTTCCTCCTCCTCCTGGGCCCTGATAACACAGCCCTGGGCACTGAGAGATTTCTGAAGAGCAAATCCTCTCCCCTTTTGGAGGGTAGCAGCACACATTTTCAAAGTGACATGTCCTTTATCCCTTCCCTCTCTGCCGTGCTGCAAATGACTTGGGTAACACATTGGCCAAGCATTTTGGTTTCCTGTTTTCTGACTGTTAAACTCATTAGAAGACTTTTGCTGTTTAGTCAGAATAATGCAACATTTGTTCTGATGTTCAAGCCACTTGTGTGAGCCAGATGGGAGCTGGTTAGAGCCTCTAACACTGGAGTTGCTGCAGAGCTGGTGTCATCCAGCAACGCTGTTCAGCAATATAGTCACTGTTGGCCAGTGGCTCAGAAATGCCTGGTTTAATATCATGTGCAGCAGCAGCTCACACGGGGAGAGCTGCCCCTGCCACTTGTTGCATAAACTTTCCACAACCTGCTCTAGCAAAGGCCCTGCCATTTCCTTGTTATTCTCTTGCAGTGCTGACGTGTTATAAGAGGAAAGAAATGATGAGGTCCCCGGGAGGGACCATTCCCAGGGACTCCCTGATGTAACAGGGGGCTGAATATGCAGGTTTCCTCTGACCATCTGCTGCAGTGTTCCTGATTCTCGCTTGCTGATGAACTCTGGTTCTGGTTCGGGGCAGGAGAGCAGTCCAGTGCATCTGCAGCAGGGCGGGTCCTGTCCATGTGATCTTGCGCCTGTCACATGTGTCAGTGCTCTCCCCATTAATTCAATGCTGTAGTCAGCAGACATTATGCTCCAGGATGGTTCTTCTGGTCTCTTCCAAAATCGGCATCTAGATCCCAATTGTACTGAGCCCAGAGGTTTGATCTCATTTGGTGAATCCTCTCTCCCCTTAACGTGACTGTTGAGCAATGCACACTTATTTCTAGACTAACAATTTTTTTAAAGTATTTCCTTAACTTACGTAGAAGCTCCACATGCAGCTTTTGCCTGGCCAGAGGCACCTGCAGAAGCAGAGGAAGGACTTCCTCTTCCCCCTCTCCCCTGAGCTTTGTGAATAGACAGTGTTGAGAAGCGACATTGGTATCTCAAAGGGCAGTGGGTAGAATGAGCCATTTTACTCATTGCTTTCTGTTCCCCTCCCTGTTTCAGGAAGCTCCGTGCCACGCTAGATGAATACACCACCCGAGTGGGGCAGCAGGCCATCGTCCTTTGCATCTCACCCTCCAAACCCAACCCTGTTTTTAAAGTGTTTGGCGCTGCACCGTTGGAGAACGTGGTAGGTCTCAGTGGGAAGGGAGCTAAGCAGCTCATTGCTCCTGCCTTGCAGTTCTGCTCAGAGCCAGCTGGTGGTCTCAGCTTCGAGTTTGAGATATTCCAATCCACTGGGGACAGATTCAAATCTGAGCTGAAAAGACAGTTTGATCCTGGTGGGTCTTGCAGATCAACCTTTAACACTGAGGTCCTGTGTCCTCCATGTGGATGTGGGAGATCACCTAAGTGGGATCTTAACTTTATTCTGTAGCTAAAGCTTCGTTTTCCAGCACCTCTGTAATGTGAGCTATTTGTGCAGCTCTTACCTCAGAATAGGCTGCGTTTTAGTCCTTTTGGGGTCTGTAGGTGCAGTGCTTTCTTGGGAAGCTAGGCAATAAGACCAGAGGCCTGGAGCTAACATTGTCAGCCCTGGTGAGCGATGGGTTGGGCAGGGGTAGGACAGGGAGGAGCAGACTATAGGTCCTGCCATCTTAAATGGTTGGGTGCTCGGAGGGAGCATAGGGACTTGCAGAATATGTGTGTATTTATACCTCTAGTTCCCAGTTCTTCACATGTAGCAGCTTTGGGGTATCAAACTATTTGCTGGTGATGGTGCTGGCCAGTATCCTCCCAGCCAGTTTTCTCCACTGCAGCTGTGCTCACTACCCAAAGGTTGGATTGAGGTTCAGCCTCTGCCCTATTTGTGGTGACCTACAAGACAGCTCAGGCTTTTCCAAGCCTCAGTCTTCTGGCACTGCCACAGCCTTGTTCCCACTGGGAGTTAGAGGAGTGAAGTTAGTGGGTGGCTGGCAGGGCTGGCATTCCTCAGGCTGGACATGCGCTTCATCATTAGTGGCAGAAGGCGAGAAGGCCCTGCTCAGGATGGGGGGGACGATTGATCCACTTGGTCTGATGAAGTCAGAGACCATCACAGTCATTGAGGACCGGGTAGGGCAGATCAGCCAGCTTGGCTTTCAGCGTTTGGCTCTCACTGTTCTCAGTAATGGCAGGTGACAGAACAAGGAGCAATGGTCCTAAGTTGTAGCAAGGGAAGTTTAGGTCAGGTTTGAATTCTCCAATATGGCATCACTATCTGTTAACTGGAGAGGTTGTTGGGTAAAAGGGAGCCCTTTGCATTCATTCATAGAATCGTAGAAAACAAGGGCTGGAAGGGGCCTCAGGAGGTCGCATCTAGTCCAACCCCTGCTCCAAGCAGGACCAGCCCCAACTACATCATCCCAGCCAGGGCTTTGTTAAGCCAGGCCTTAAAAACCTCCAAGGATGGAGACTCCATCACCTCTCTAGGTGACCTGTTCTAGTGCTTCACCATTCTCCTAGTAAGAGAGTTTTTCCCAATATCCAACTTAAACTTCCTTTTCTTCAACTTGAGACCATTGCTCAAGTTGATATTAGGAAAAAACTTTCTCATAAGGTTAGTGGTAAAGCACTGGAAGAGGCTACCCAGAGAAGTGATAGAGTCTCCGTCCTTGGAGGTTTTGAAGACCCGGGTAGACAAAGCTTTGGCTGGGGTGATGTAGTTGGGGCTGGTCCTGCTTGGAGCAGGGCATTGGAGTAGATGGTCTCCTGAGGGCCCTTCCAACCTTCATTTTCTGTGATACTGTGATTCCATCCAGCCTCTCAGCCTCGCAGTGGTGTGGGAGGAAAACAGCAATATTGTTCCCAAACTTTTCTCTGAATCCTCTTGCTCCCTCTGTCTGCTGGTGTTACTTGCAGTTTCATCATCCCTTTGCCGCAGCTCCGCTCTCTAGTCTTCAGGGCCGATGGGTATTTTTACCTGCAAGCTGGGGCATTGTTTGTAGCATCTTGGGGAAGGCGCGGGGGCCCGCCTTCTGTTACCTAGCACCCCGGCCTCTCCTGTTGCTCTTTACCTTGTTTACCAGAGCCTAATGATTCCCCACAGGTGCGCAAGTACAAGAGCATGATCCTGGAAGACCTGGAGTCAGCACTAGCAGAACACGCACCTGCGCCACAAGAGGTTAACTCAGAGCTGCCCCCCCTAACCATCGATGGGATCCCTGTCTCTGTGGACAAGATGACCCAGGTGAGCGGCCGGGGCAATGGAAACTTGGAAGCAGCAACTGAGTTTTGCAGGCTGTGCTCAGACCCTGTTGGCTTTGGCAGCGCAGGTTCTGTGTCCCCCGAGGGAGGCTTTGCTTCTGCCTCTCCAGCAAGACCTGAGGGGCCTTGGTTAGACATGAAGCTTTATCATGGGCTATTTCCTGCATGAAATCTTACAACTCTTGAGAATCCCCTCGCCCTTTTCCTTTGGGTCAGTGGTGTCCTGCCACCTGTCTGTTAATGATGCAGCCCTTGGTGCCGCACCTGGGGATGACCTGTGGGTGCTGATATCAGGACAGGTGCCTGAGGCAGACCAAAATGGGAGCTAAGCCATGCATGTTTTTTGCCACCTTTCTCTCTGTCCCTGAGGCTGTGGCTTGGAGTGGAGGGAAGCTTGCTGATAGCGATATTCCAGGACCAGCCTCATTTTCCTGTCTCAGAGGCAGAGGCAACTTGCTTGTACCTAGTGGTTGCAATGAGTCATCCGTCCTGGGGGGGCAGGGGACACCTCATCCTCTCCTGGCCCAGAGCGTCTCTGAGCAGACATGCACTGGCATGAAATCTTCCTATCCCTGAAAAAAAGGGGCAGGGGGATTTGAAGGGAAATGTCCCCTGGGCAGGGAGGGATCAGGGCAGCTTTGTATATACATTTTCTCGCTCCCCTCCCTGGGGGTGGCAGGAACGGGAGGGATTAACGCTGTGAGAAGGAGGTGAGCGAGAGGCTCTGCACATGCTCATCTTGGCTGCTTGATGCATCCGAACAAATCTGAGTGCTCCTGGCAGGGAGGAGAGAGGAACTCCGAGAGCCCAAGGTTGAAGGGGATGGGGTGAGAGTGGGTCGTGGGCTGCATCCAGGGAGTCTCACGATGGAGTAGGGAGGGGCTCATCTCTGCAGAGCACAGGAGACACCAGGCATCTCCTTCCTCCATAGCCACAGTTTCTCTTCAAAGGAGCGCTGTTCCCAGGCAGCTTTGCTTCGCATCTCCCGAAGCACTTGTGCATGAAATGCGAGGCCAGTGGTGCCTGGCCTCACTGGGTCCCGTAAGTTAGGAAGAGAGGGATAGGAGACGCTCTGGGGTCAACAAGCCCAGCTCCCTATGATTGCAGGCACCCATCTAACACACACATGTCCAAATGGGCCCATGTGAACATCCCCTCTGCCCCTTTCTGCACATCATGGCCACAGAGCACCTGATAACAAACAAGCAAGCCTTGTGTTGTGCCACAGGAAGAAAGCAAGGGGGCAAAGAGACATTTGATAGCTAATATATTAGAGCATTTTACCTGATCTCTGCATATAGCTTCCACCTTTGGGATTTGGGAGTAGCAAGAGGAAATTAAGGGTTTGAAGGAAAGAAGTGCTTGATATGGAGAGTATTTGTGGGGAGGGAGGCAGCTGGTCTCTTATGGGCAGGAGCTGTAGGCTGCAAGGTTCAGGTGCCAGCAGTGGTGAGAATGAGGGAGGAACGTGGAAAATAGCGATGATGCTAGTGGGATGGAGGGAAAGGACCAGTGAGAAGGCAAAGGTCAGGTTTGCTCCCAAGGTGACTGCACAGTTCCTGCAACCTATTAACAAGTTCAAGAGACTTCTTGTTACCTGGAAAGTGCAGAATGTATGACCATGCATGTTCACAGCTGTTAGAAAGCAGGGTTTTGACTAGTAACCAGCTGGCTGTTAGTGTGGCCTGCACCTACAAATGACCAGTTTTCATCCTCAGAATCCCCTCTGCTGGCTTTACTGCACAGAGATCTTTCATTTTTATGACAGTGTTGGAAATGTGACAAGTAACATCAAGGACTCTTTAAGCACTTCCCCTCCAGCCCACGGCTGCACCCCCTCCACACTTGAATGTTACCATTTATTAAAGCAAGAAATACCTTCTTGGGATAGATCAAGAATGGAAGCAGTTTGGTGTCTTCCAGGGTCCAAACCCTGGACTCGGCTGTCAGCTGTTGAGGAAATTCTGCATTTTGAGACATGAATTTTTCGTGCAGTCTGGTGACTCTGGGGGTTGCATTGATCTATATTTTCCATATGAGTTTGAGTCCTGGATCTTTCTTTTTCTATTTTTCCAGCTTGGGGCTCCTTCACTGCCAGGGTCAAAGGTGGCAGTCGGAGTCCTGGAAAAGTTACCTTCGCAGATTCATTAGGTCTCTTAGCTTCCTAAAGAAGCTCCACTTTCTCCATTGATTAGAACAGTTTCTGAAATTTTGCCCCGAAGGGCCATTTCGCCAGGGCAGTCCTGGGTGGTGGGCTGCATCCAAGGGGCCCACAAGCCACTTTTGGCCTACGGGCCACCCTTTTGGGAACACGTGCTCGAGAACCAGATTGCTGTCGGATGAGGGGAGCAAACAACTGCCTGAGCCCTTTCCGTCCCTGGAGGGCTGAGGCAGCACCCAGCACAGTGGGGCCTGAACCCCAATGAGGAAGGTGCACACTGCCAAGTGCTCTGAGAAATGAACAGGATGGCAGAGGGGCTGGCTGGTCCAAGCCTGCTCTGTGTCTGACTTCCCCAACCTCTGGACCCATCAGAGTATTTGAGCCAGGGCTTCCTACCGCAGCAGCGTTCTTAGTAAAGTTATAAACTGCTGATGCAACCATGAAGTACTGTAGGAGCCCTTTTATTTTGAGACCTCATGAGGTGCCCAGCAGTAAAGAAAGGGTCTACTTAGGAAGGCATTTCTTGCAGAAGTGGTGCTTTTTATTGAGAACAATGAAGGTAACTCTCTTCAGCCAGGCTAGTGTTTCTCCCAGGCACTGGACAGACTCCCCATTTATTTTACATAAAACTCCAATCATCAGACCTGAGATGGGAGGTCACTTTACCACTTCTCAACTTCATAGTTTCATAGTTTCATAGTTTTAGGGTCGGAAGGGACCTAATAGATCTTCTAGCCCGACCCCCCGCCAGGGCGGGAGAAAACCCCCAAAAAAAAACACAAACCCTAAAAACAAAAAGGGGACTCAAATGAGTCCAGCCAGGTAAGTATCCAGCCTCTTCTTAAAGATCCCCAGGGTAGGGGCCAGCACCACCTCCCTTGGAAGTTGGTTCCAGCTCCTAGCCGCCCTAACTGTGAAGTAGTTTTTTCGGATGTCCAATCTGTACCTCCTCTCCATCAACTTGTGCCCATTACTCCTTGTTATGCCAGCGGGGGCTAGGGGAAACAGCGTCTCCCCCAAACCCTTCTGGTTCCCCCTAGTGAGTTTATAGACGGTCACCAGGTCCCCCCTCAGCCTTCTCTTGTGGAGGCTGAATAGGTTCAGGTCCTGCAGTCTCTCACTGTAGGGTCTGCCCTGTTGTCCCCGGATCATGCGGGTGGCCCTCCTCTGGACCCTTTCCATGTTGTCCACATCCCTCCTGAAATGGGGCGCACAGAACTGGACACAATACTCCAGCTGCGGCCTGACCAGCATCGCATAGAGGGGGAGGATCACCTCCCTGGCTCTAGTCGAGATGCACCTGTGGATGCACGACAAGGTCCGGTTAGCCCTGCCAACCATGACCTCGCATTGTCGGCCCATGTTCATCTTGGAGTCAGTAATGACACCAAGATCCCTTTCCGCCTCCGTGCTCTCAAGTAGGGAGTTCCCCATCGTATAAGTGTGCTGCTGGTTCCTACAAGTGCACCCTGCACTTGTCCGTATTGAAACACATCCTGTTCCTGTTTGCCCACCCCTGTAACCTATCCAGATCCTTCTGCAATCTCTCTCTCCCTGCTAGCGTGCTCACCTCCCCCCAAATTTTGGTGTCATCAGCGAATTTAAACAGGTTGCTTTCCACCCCAACATCAAGATCGCTGATGAAGAAATTGAACAGCGCAGGCCCCAGGACCGAGCCCTGGGGGACTCCACTACCCACCTCCCCCCAAGTCGAGTATGATCCATCCACCACCACCCTCTGAGTGCAACCCTTCAGCCAATCTGCAATCCATCTGACTGTGTAGGCATCTATGCCACAGTCGCCTAGTTTATAAAAAACTTCCTCATCTATAAAATGGGGGTGGCTTTGTAAATGGAGAATTCTTTGAGCCCCTTGGATAGGAGAGGGCTGGACCTGGGCGAAGTATTACAGCAATAACGATTCTCACTGCCACGGCTCCCGACTTGCCATGGTATCTGAAAGTTCAGCTGATGTCTTTTTGCCCTTTAAGGCACCTTATTTAGGTAACAGAGAGGCTGCATTTGGAGCGGAGGTGAAGGTTTTGTTGATCGTAGACTCCAGCTCCTGATCTTGGAATATACAAAGCCCAGTAGAAATACTCAAACACACAAACAGGGCAGGGCAATTAAGGGGTATGTCAATGGAAAAATGAAGCCTTGGCTTTGAACAGCTGCAGGTAGCCTCAGACAGGTGTTAGAGGCATTAGGTTTAGCTCACTGAAGAGGAGATGAAAATGACTCTCCTCCTGTTAATTGCCCTGCTTCTTTGGGGGCCTTGGGGGAAATAAAGCCTTCTCTAGCCTGAGTGCAGCATGTTTCCATGGATTTGCGGAGGGAGAGTGCTGCCCACCTGTGCTGCGCGTGGTAAACTCACTGCAGCAGAGTTGCTCCTGATGCCTTTACTCAGGGGAACCTCTTCCATTGCACTCACTGTGCATTTTGACTATGGGCTGAGCCCAGTGGCAGACCTGCTCTCTACTAGCCAAATGTTTTTTGGCGAATGAGGTTTAGTAGCACCTAAGGTCCCGTTCTGCCTATGCCAGCAGAAACCATGGAGTCTGCTGCAAGTTGCTTTCACTTTTTTGAGGGCCTTATTACACAGTAATTTTGACCAGCTCCTGGAGCTGTTAACCCCTTGCATGGTTCACACATTAACACCTTAAAGTGCCTTAAAGCACTCATTATGCGGCTCAAAGTTACACCGCTCCACGGCAGGGTTACCCCTTGGTCTGCACCACCCCGCGCCTGTTTTGTTAAGGTGTGTCCACTCCCCATAGATGTGCTGCTGAAGTTGAAAGTGTGGCTGCTCCAAACTTTCAGCCAGTCAACAGTTGCACAGCTCACGAGGCATAAGGTGTAACAAGGCCCCAAGGGCAGGATTTGCCCTTTCACTGAACTTTCATTTCTTTGTTCAAACACCTTCATAGGACTTGTAGGCAAGGATGGACCCAGCCCCAAAACTCATTCACAGTGGTTTGTTTCTTGTGGGTCAGCAGCTGAGCCCCAGACCCAGTTCCCTCAGTGCTAAGCTGCTCTGGGGAAGCAGAGTTAGCTAATCCTGGCGAGAGCTTGATTGGGGGGGGCAGATTTGGAGCCAACCTTTAACAGCGCACTGCAGGGTGCAGAAAGCTGCCTCCATCAGCTCCTTCATTTGGCGCAGGCACTTGTACCTCCTTCACAGCACCCTTCTAGGACGGAGCTGCCACCTGCAGCATTTGGAGGGTTTCCAGACTCTCTTGGCGGTCCTGGATGCTGTGGGATCTAATGCGGTCTAGGAATCTCCGAGCAGCAGTGATCACTTTGATGCTCTCGTGGCTGGAGGATGCATAGGAGCCTGGGCAATGAGTCAACATCTCTAATATGCTGCTTTTTCACCTGGCCAAGGCCTGGGGTGATGGGGAAGAGGAGAGGATATAGTGTAATGCCAGAGAAAAAGGACTTCAAAGAACTGGGGCAGCAGCGCTAAGAAAAGGTTGTGGTTGGACCTCTTGTACATGGTGAACTCTCAAAAAGCTGTTCAGTAGTGTTAGAAGAAACCATGCTGTTGGAGCCAGGCTTGACTCCAGTTGTGCAGGTACAAACCTGCTCTGTTTCCCCAGCACCTCAAGAGCCAGGTCTCGAGTGTCTTTGGCTTCCACTGAGACCCGTTAGTTAGGGCCCTAGATTTCACTGTTGCTTCAGCAGATGATTAAATCTGCAGAGCCCTCTCTTGCCCTGACCTGTCATGGGCAAGAATGGAGAATAAATGAAGGTGCAACAAAAGCTACATGAGCTTAATAGAAAGGATATTTGTGGTGATGAGTTTGTTGGTATATGGACAGCTGCCTCATTTTGGATAAAATACTAATCGGGATTTCTTTTAGTACGGGACTGTTTGTTCTAAAATTTGCTACTGCAGATCAGAGTTTTCCCACCATTTAGGGGAGGTGGACAGATGCAGTCTCACCGCTCTGGGGCTACTGTGGCTACTTCTTTACCTCTTGTGTACTTCAAAGCCTAGCCTTGGCTTCCCCCATGCCCATTGCAATTGGCTGGCACTCTCCTTTGGGGGATCCTCATCCCTGAATTTGTGCAAGCCACTGCAAGGCTGTTATTAGCAGGTGATCTGCTCTGGAAACCACTTTCTTTGCAAACCATAAGTTTGGGCCTGACCGGTGTTAGCTGCATCTTGTGCGGTTCCTTATTCCCTTTGACACTTGGGAACTCTAACAGGGCACAGTTTGGGGTGTTGGGCACTGAAGGTGGCTATGATGAGGAATAACTCATTATCTTCCCAGGTTCATCTCAATCCTTCTCCTTAAAAGGCTGCTCTAGCCGAGGCATCAAAAAACCTTCCTCACGGTGCCTCACGTACACCTTGAGCTTTGGCTCACCAAGATCCCTTCTGAGTGACAGAAGAAATTCAGAACAAATCTTTATGTTAAGAAGGGACGAGACTTCACCGGAGTTGGTCAGTCTTGGATGGGGCCGGTGAGGGTCTGGGAGCCCACCCCACGGGGCAGGTTCCCACCTGTGCACCGCGCACGGGGAGATCCGGGGCCCTTGTCTGAGTACTGCAGCCGGCACTTCGTGACTTTTGTGAGTAGGCCAGCTGAGGGGCAGCCCTTGTTGTGATGCTAATTAGAGAGGTCCTGTACTCGAGCAGGTTGCAATGCCTCTGTCGCTGCTGCTGATTGTCTCCCCGGTGGATTACAAGCGAACCCTTCTTAACAAGCGCCTTGAGTAGCTTGAGCCTCTGAACTCCCGAGGACTAGTAATTAATCCATCTGTTAACAAGGAACACAGCTTGCAGCTAGGCGCTCTCTGAAGGAGCCGTTTAACTCTTTTTGTACCAGGCAGCCAAATTCCATTCATGCGTTTAATTTACTAACAGCATTTCTGCGGAGCCTCTTGCCTGAGACCTAAGCGCTTTGCAGTGTAACAGTTGTCCCCATGGCTCTAGATGGGCAGTCCTGTGGCACAGAGGGATAGAGAATCTGGCTGATTGTGCCACTGAGTTTGGGCAAGCCCTTTAACCTCTCCTGGTCTCAGTCTTCCCATTTCTGCTGTGGGCAGTGCTTACTTCCATATCTCAAAGGAAAGGAGCTATAGAAATATAGGTACAGTTACTGCCCTTGGGCAAAATTTAACATTTGGGAACTCCTTCCCTCCCTGAAACAGCCCGGGGGGCGCACAGAGCAGCGAGGTGGTGATCTAACTTTCTACCCTTGTTCATGATGTCTTGGCCTAGGACTGGCTTAGTATTTGATGAGCTGAAGTTCAGGTGGTCTCTGAGCGAGATCCTGAGGCCTCCAGTGGTGATCTCAGCTTTATGCCAAGTCCACGAGGAGCGTCCCCACCATCCTTAGACGTATCTCTTTTCCTTAGACCCTCTTTTTTCTGGTGTCCGATACAGGGGGCTGTGAAAGGGTGTTGCATGCAGCCATGAGTAACTTTGAGATGCATTTGTGTAAGATAAGGACTTTACCAGTCAGTTCATTTTTTTTTTTCCAGGCGTCCCCCATCCTGTCAGCTTGGGGTTCGGTGCTGAAGCACCTGAGATCTGGGCTGGTGCATGTGGCCTCGCATGAGCAAAAGCCAGTGTCTCTGTGGTAAAAAAATTAAGCCTGTTTGGGGGCTGTCTGCTCCCTGCTCACTGGCACTCATCACGGTTGTAACCAGAGGCAATTGATCCCTGTTACCTGAGCTGCCTTGCGCTGCAGGCTTGTGTAACCACGATGGGGGGATCACAAGCAATTAAGCGATGGAGGCGGTGGTCACAGCAAGCAATTCTGGAGGCAGCAGTAAACCCAGAGAATACAGTTCAACTGGTTTCCAACAGAGCCACTAGCAGTTGGGAGTGGGAGGTTGGGAGAGAGATGCAATTTTATCTTTATGTAGCTTGTTTCTCTTTAAACCCTCTGGTGCTGGGATACCTCGGTGATGGTGAGCATTAGATGGTCAGCTCCTTGGGAAAGGAGGCCTTTTGAGTTGTGCTTGTGCAGCTCCTGGTGCTGTGGGATCCCACCCCGTTATTGGGAGCTGCACTACGAACAGCAATGATCAGGGCCTAAAACACACAGCTCCGTATGCAGCATTCACCTCCGTGCTAATGGCATTTCACAGTAGCATTTCTTGCTAATAGGCCCGTTCTCTAAAAGACTGTCTCATCACGCTAGCAGTCTTGCTCCAACGGAGCCATTTCACTCTACACTTCCCATAGCTTTCTCAGGAACGTGCCAGTCAGGCTTGCCCACCTTCTCTCTGACAAGACAAGACTCTTTTTTCCTGAGAAAAATCCATTAAGATCTGTTTATATTATTGGAGCACAGAAAAAGGCAAATTTCTTAACTGGAGCTGTGCATTCAAAGTCTGTTCTCTTTGAGACTTCCCTGTAAAATGTATGTGCCTCACATATATCCCAGCTGAATAGCAGTGCCTCGTAGAGCTTTGGCCTTTACTTTAACTGGGTTGGCTGCTTTCCCTCACATCAGGAATTGAAGGTTAACGTTGTATTAATATACGGTGTGTTTCTTTTTACTGCTGTAGTTGGCTGACTTACCTTTGTCACCATCCCACTGTCTGCTAATACAGTGTTTCAGCTAACACTTAGGATGGATGAGGTGGGAAGAGAGTTGTTCAGCACTTCCAGGGTTTCTGAGCCATTTCACTGAGTGGTGTCAGTCTGGTAATTTCCAGGTGAAAACAGAATCTGGTCATTTTTATGCTAACCTGAAACCCCCAAAGAAATCAGGATTTGCAGTTCTCCTCTAACGTCCTGTGCTCTTTGTTGCAGGCGCAGCTGCGAGCTTTCATCCCCGAGATGTTGAAGTACTCGACAGGGCGTGGGAAGCCAGGCTGGGGGAAGGAAAGCTGTAAACCCATTTGGTGGCCTGAGGATATTCCATGGGCAAACGTCCGCAGTGATGTCCGCACAGAAGAACAGAAACAGAGGGTATGTGGCCCCCTGTACAGTTGCTGGTGACCCTTTGCACATTCCCTTACACCAGGACCCTTCTTGTGTGCGAGAACAGCAATGTCATAATTTTCTCTTGTTCCATGTTCAGGTTAAATATCTGTGCCCAAACCTCATTGCATTGGTCTTTCTCCTGTCCACATTTTGGCTGGTCTTCAATCTCAGGTGTCAGCCATTCACTCTGCCTCTCTTGATTTGTCATTACTTTTCACCCAAGTGGGTTGGCCCCAAACTAGTCCAGGGGAAGGGACCTGATACAGTAAAGGTAGGAAAAGAGCCTTTGCTTTGGATTGGCTGTGGTTGCCTGCTGCCAATTTGCTCTTTTGAGCTCCACCACTCCTCTCTGCTTCTGTGGCATTGTCCCCCAATCCAGCTAATACGGCAGCAGCAACCTGTGCATATGGCTAAAGAAGCAGAGCTCTGGCCTAAGCTTTGGGTCTGCTCTCTCCACACAACTCATCTACCAGGGAGCATGGGTCCTGGTCAGAGACAGGCAGCAAAGGATGTGCTCAGCCCTCTCTGAGCCCTTTCTGCACATGACGCAATGGCATGTAGAAAAGTGAGGGAAAAGAGACTAGAAAAGGTGCTCACTTCAGCTGCACCAGAGAGCATTGCATGGGGATAGAGGAGTGAAGCCATGTCCATTTACCACGTGGGACATTAAAGAATGATGGGAGCTGTAGGATTAAATCCCTGCACAGGTTGATGCTTTCCCTGGGGCGTGGGGAGGTAGCTGTGAACTGTGAAATAGCCATGTCAGCCCTCTGCTGGGCTTTAAAGCATTTAAACTCTCTGCAAATTTGTTTGTCCCATCAGAGAAATTCTCTCCACACTGTAGACTAGAAAGGGCTCTGATGCCAGAGGAAGCCGTTCAGGGGGCAATTGCTGAATGTTTGTGAAAGGCCTACGTGCACTGACTCTGTTTTCCCTCCTTCTCGGCAGGTGTCCTGGACCCAGGCGTTGCGCACTATTGTAAAGAACTGCTATAAGCAGCATGGGCGTGAGGACTTACTTTATGCCTTTGAGGATCAGCAGACACAGCAGCAGACAACAGCCACCCACAGCATAGCACACCTGGTACCATCGCAGACTGTGGTGCAGACATTCAGTAATCCTGATGGCACGGTCTCCCTTATCCAGGTGAGCAGAGCCTTCTGGCAGCCCTAGTTCCATGCTGAGCCCCATGTGTGATAGGACCTTTTAATGACATTGCTTTGTCTGTTGACTGAGCATTTTTCAGGAATCTTGAGTCTGTTTTAGGCATCTTAGACACTTCTATAGGCTCCCGTTACTATTGTACGTGAATGCCTCTGTCTAATGTCTGTGTGTCCATGATGCCTCTGTGAGGTAGGGAAGTGATTCCATCCCCTATTTTAAAGAGGAGAAGCCAAGGCACAGCAAGACAAAAGAACTTGCCTAGGGTCACACGGGATAGTTGTGGTAGATCACTGAACTGAACCCAGATCCTCCATAGCCCAAGCCAGTACCCTAACACCTGGGCCATCCTCTTAATCTGGGTGCCTATCATACCCAGCACTGTGCCCTTTGGGGCCCTAGATTGCTAGTGAAGTTTTAAACTGCAACACCAGTCTCAATTCTCCTAGACCCTAGCAGTTGCCTTGCCCTACTTGGCTTTCCAGTCCTCCTCAGTGACTTTCAATATTGTGGTACACAAACATAACTGTTTTGGATGGTCATTGGACACGCATCCATCTGAGCCATGCAGTAAACCAAGATGGGGTTACCTGCACCGTAATTTAGGTGATTTCATTGGCTTTACGGCAGTACTCCCCAAAGGCTCCATGTACTGCAGCTACCAAAGCTAAGTTGCATAGATCTACAAGGGACACCCAGGGTCCTTGAGTCCAGTGCCCTGCTCTCACTGGCAACTTTAGCCTTTCCCTTTCCTGAGCCACAAAGCTCTAAAACTGGTCAGGCTTCCTACCCTAAGCATCGCACTACATAGTGTAGATCTGTATTGTACATGCAAAATATAAGGAAAGAGGGGCAACAGCTGGCAAATACTCCTCTAGTTTCTTTGTGTACGCTCGACTAGTGGTTGAGAGAGATCATTTTTTATCTCATCAGGCTTCACGGTGGTTAACCTTTGTTTTGATAGCTCTGCTGACAGCTATGAAAATGAGATATCAGAGAATCAAAGAGAAGTAGGGCCGGAAGGGACCTCCAGAGGTCACATCTAGTCCAACCCCCTGCCTTACCCTATGCAAATCCATAATCTAACTTCCTAGTAAAACTGCTTTCAACCCTAACCCAATGCAAGATATAACACCCAAGCCTACCATAGGTAAAGCAGGGGGACCGCAGCAGCCATGGCCTGCTTCTGTAAAAGGTTGTTAATATATGTTAAAGAGATCCCAGATAGAGGGCCCCCCTGGTATTTTTGAATCCATATCAGATTTTGAATGGAGACTGACCACATCTCACCAACCCCTTTCCAGAACGGGGCTGGCCCATTGTGTTGCTGTGAGCTGGCCCACTGTGACCCCTGCTAATTTTCTGTGAATTTGGGACTGGGCAGGGAGGAAGAGGGAATCCCTGAGAAACAGACCTCATTTTCTTTCATAGAATCACGGAAAACGAGGGTTGGCAAGGAGCTCAGGGGGTCACATCCAGTCCAACCCCCTGCTCCAAGCAGGACCAGCCCCAACTATCTCATCCCAGCCAAGGCTTTGTCGAGCCAGGCCTTAAAAACCTCCAAGGATGGAGACTCCACCACCTCTCTGGGTAACCTGCTCCAGTGCTTCCCCCACTCCTAATAAAAGAGTTTTTCCTAATATCTAACCTAAACTTCCCTTGCTGCAACCGGAGCCCATTGCTCCTTGTTCTGTCATCTGCCACTGAGAAGTCCAGCTCCATCCTCTTTTGAACCCCCTTCACATAGTTAAAAGCTGCTATCAAATCACCTCTGTCTTCTCTTCTGAAGACTAAATAAGCCCAAGCTCTCTTCATAAGTCATGTGTTGCAGCCCCCCAACCATTTTTTGGCCTTCTGCTGGATTCTCCCTTATTATTCTCATTCATAAAATCATTGAAAATGAGAGTTGGAAGGGAGCTCAGGAGGTCACATCTAGTGCAATCCCCTGCTCAAAGCAGGACCAGCCCCAACTACATCGTCCCAGCCAAAAACTGTTTATGTCTGTGTTCTCAGCTACTAAGTGGGAATGATGACAATTGCCATCCCTGGCAGGGGTGTGAAGATGCACTGCAGCTTTAAATGTTTTGAAAAGAAATAACCCTCTTTGGAAGTGGTGGTTAATACTGCTAGGGGTTGGGGTGCAGGACTCCGTGGCCTACGACTTCCATGCTAGGTTACCTCAGTACTTACCACGAATGCCTCCAGCCTGCTGTTACACTTCTGAGGCATGTTAGCCGTCTTGTTCTAAAGGACTTGATTGCTCTTTTATATCAAGGGCACCCTGGGATGCATAATGGTGAGCAACTGAATTTTGTTGACTGTTTCCTGGTGTTTCCTAGGTTGGCACAGGTGCCACGGTCGCCACGCTGGCTGACGCCTCCGAGTTGCCTACCACAGTTACCGTCGCACAAGTGAATTACTCCGCAGTCACTGATGGCGAGGTAAGGGCGAAGGTTTGTGTGTTTGCTCACGTGTGCAGCATACTGTGGGGACGTCTCGCAAGCCCTGCTGGCGCGCGTGTATCTTTCATGTATAAGCTTGACTGGGAATACAAATGCTTACTGCCGGGTACCGTTTTGGTAAAAGCAGGCATCAGCTTTAAAGCAGCACTATTTGAATTTTTATATGGGGCCAGGGTCGGGAAATGCGAGTTAAGGGTTAATTTTGGCTCTCAGGCATGTGTGATACTAAAGGCTACCCTTCATCATACCCTTTTATAAATCCATGGTGCATCCATACCTTGAATACTGTGCCCAGTTGTGGTTTCTACACCTCCAAAAGGATATAGAAGACCTAGAGGAGGTCCAGAGAAAGACAACAAGGATGATTAGCAGCATGAAGGGCCTTCCATGCGAGGAGAGACTAGAGGCCAGGCCTATTCAGTTTAGAAGAGAGATGCTTGTGGGGGGACATGATAAGGATTGACAAAATACTAAATGGTGAGGAGAAAGTCAGTAGGGATTTACTATCTCTCTCAATACAAGAACTAGGGCTCACAAAATGAAACTAGTAGGTAGTAAGTTTAAATCTAACAAAAGGAATTTCTTTTTCACACAGTCTGCCATTAAAGTGTGGAACTCATTGCCACCAGATGTGGTGGACACTAAGAGTTTAGCCAGATTGGAAAAGAGACTGGACACAGTCTTGGAGGAAAGTTGCATCAGTATCAGAACTTCCTAGACCTTAAATACTAGAAGCTGCACGGGAGAGAGGAGCGGTGAAAAAAAACCCTTGTCAGACCCAGTTCATTCTCCCTTGCAGGGTTCTAGTCTCTGCCCCCGTGTGACACAGGAGACCAGGCAAGATGGACCTGTGGTCTGACCCAGTAAATGGCAGTTCTTACATTCGCTTTCTAACAGTCATGCATGCAAGATCTCAGTCCCAGTCTCCATTAGTGTCATGGGAGAAGATTCATGACGGATCACGTGTTCATTGTTCTAGGGATCAGAAATAACAGCTTCCGATATGCAGCTCCCCAAAAGCACTCAGTTTTGTGTTTACATCGGGGGTCTAAAGTGCAAGTTCCCTGGCTACAGCAAAGGGCTTTGTGTTTAACACCAGCTGAATTGGTGGCAGAAAAGGACTGCAGTGTGGCCTTGAGCAAACTGCATCATTTCGCTTTGCCTCAGTTTGCCTCTTGGTAACAGGAGGAAAATTCTCCGTGGTGTCTTGTAGAGGCACTGAGGCTTTATTAACATGCAGGTGGCTCGAGTTTTCCTATGGTGATAAGACACTATAGATACTTTGTAAAGTTACTGAAAGCCCTGTTAGGCCCAGTGCATTCATGTTACTCGCTCATAGTTTCATCCAGATTTCTCAAAGTTGCATTTCCCGTTGAGGGCTTTGTGGTGCCAAACCAGGCTTTTGAAACTGAAACATCTAAACTTACGGTGCCAAAGCCCCACCTTGCTCTCTCACATCAAGAAACAAAATGCTGCTTTCTTTAAAGACTGTTCCTAGAACTCTGACAGCTGCCAGGATTTTCTTCCCCTCCTCCAACCCCAAATTTGTCTTGGAGTCAATGAGGCTGCTGTTCCACTCCAGGCTGTTGTCTGCCCTCTTGGCCACCTGCCGAAGTTTCTGGGTGAGGTGCCATCCCTGTGATGGCGTGCAAGGGTCAGCTTGCTTTGCTCAGCGAGGATTGGGTTTTCACGGCAATAGGTGGCAGTACAAAACAGCTTTGTTCTGCGCTAGGCTGCATTTCCATCTGAAAAATCAAAGAGAAACAGGCTGTTTGTTTGGGGCTCCAGCCTTGAAAAGTACTTCAAATTCACACGAGGGTTTCCAGCACCAGTTATCTTTCTCTTCAGGCCTTGGGGAAGATGTGTGCAAAGGCACAAATGGCAATTAGATGCCTAACTTCCCTTGGCTTTCAGGGGAAATTAGGTGCTTAGCTTGTGCCATGGAAAACCTCCTCCTAATTTACACAAGACAGAAGTACCTATTTAGTTAAACTTTCCTGTACAGACAGGTCCAGATTTTTGCTGGTGGGCCTCATTATCCACGTGCCCATTTTCTGCTGGGCTTTCCCTCTATTTCACAGAATCGTAGAAAGGCAGGGCGGGAAAGACGTTCCAGAGGTCGCGTCTAGTCCAACCCCTGCCTGAGGCAGTATCACCATCCTATGGAAGTCACTGTCTAATCTAGTCCTAAATTGCACAATCAGTGTTGCTGGACAATTAAAAGGCCCATTGCCCAAAGACACCAAGAGCACCCAAACCTGCCACAGGTTAGGCAGGGAGATGAGGGCTATCAGTGTCTTGCTGCTCACAGGTTGCTAAAATGCCTCTGAGTTCACAAAAGTTATGGAGGGAGCCTTGAGCCTACAAATGTTGAGAACCACTGTGCGAACGTGCCACCTTGCTCCGTCTTCTGCCTTTGAATCTTGCCACTTTTTCCTTTCTCCACCGTATCAAGTACGAGCTGTTTCTCATCACCTTCAAGGCCCCTCACTTTTAGTCTACAGGCAACCCCCACTTAGCGCTCTTACTTGGTTCCTGAAAAACCGAGCATTAAGTGAACTGAAAGTATTTGATGACCCAAGATGGCGATAGCAGTTGTTTTTAATGACCCACAATGGCGACCGCGAGCGTTATAACGAAACTCGCTGGGCGCTAAGTGAGATCAGGTATCAATTTCAAATGAGCATTACAGTGGAATAGCGCTAAGTGAAGCAGCGTTAAGCAGGGGTTGCCTGTATTCTGGTGTCTTAGCAAGCACCCCCACTCCTTTCCCTGCCAGAAATGCTTGCCTTGATCCTATGTTTGTTCATTTGTCCCCAGTGCATCTTTGTACTTCTTCCTCTGTTGCCCTTATTGCATGGAATATTTTTCTTGAAATAATCTGTGAAGCTTCACTACTGTCCTCCCACAGCTTTCTCATTGTAACCCACTTCTGATGTGAACCCTGCCAGAAACTAGTGATGACTAGGTAGAGGGCTCTGTCTGTCTATCTGTCTATCTACCTGAATGTATTGTGTAGCCCTCTACCTAGTCGTCATCAGTTTCTGGCAGGGTTCACTTCAGAAGTGATAGATAGATAGATCATGCTGATAGACAGGCAGATATATTATTGCATTCGTTTATATACATCGTGCCTAGCTATATAAAATAAAGGATCTGGGTTTCTGAATCTGCCTCTACCACTGGTACAACATGGAAGAGATCACCAAAAATTCAAAGAAATAACTGTACCCAGGTGGGATGGACTGCATGCGATGGAGTAGATTTCCAATTCTGAGGGCTGTGACAGTAGCCTGTGAAACTCTTCCTGATGGTCAGTGGAATGAGGTATTTTAAGAGGATCTTCCTCATACAACGTGATCCGCAGAGTCCGAGGCTTAAGGAACCTTCATTCTTTGGTTCCAAGATACGGTGATCCCAATGCCTTGTATTCTGACCACGGGTGTGTGGCCACCTGCTCAGTGGTGTTGCCTCCAATGTGAAGGAATTCCTCCCAAATGGAGGAAGGCAGGTTGGGATGGAGAAAGAGCTGCGGAGGTCAGGAGTGGGGGAACTCTGGGAAGTGCAAGATCCTGTAGCCACAGAAACATTGCTTGTGAGGGGAGGATGGGCTGAAATACCTAAAATATATGAACAATGGGATGATTTGTTATTTGCACAGCTGCCTTAACAAACGCAAGTCAAGAGTCACGAGATGTATGAGGTGCTGCAGGTAGGTTGATGCAGTTTACGAAGAAACAATGAGAATAGTTACATATTTGTACAGCACCCAGCACAGTGGGCTTCTGGTCCATAACCTAGCTCCTGGGCATTGCAGGGATACAAATAAATACGATGACAGTGCTGATGGGCCCGAGAGGCATGGGTCACCACACACCAGCCATCCAAATGTCAAGGGTCTTGCTGGTGTGACTGAAAAGGGAGGTGGCTTGTGGGTCCTCCCACAGGAGGGGCAGCACTGGAGAAAGGACAGAAATGGTTTGAAAACTTAGCAAGTGGACCATGAGGTCTGGAGTCTTGGGCTGCTCAGAAGCAGGAGCCTTCATCTCAGGAGCGAGTGAGAGAGGAGCGGAGGCCTTCCAACATTATTTCAGCAGCTGGGTCTCCAAAGTGCTCCTAAGGGACCCTTTTTTCCAACAGAGGTGCTCATGGGATGTCTCAAGCAATAAAAATCAAAAAGTTGAAGCGCTCTTTCAAAGGCATCTTGAATGCATATGACCGACTGTCTTTAAGAAGTAGCCACCCAGCTGCGGGTTGGCTCAGGGACAGAATTCACTGTCCCTGAGCCTATTTCCTCTCCCCTTCCTAATAGGTGGAACAGAACTGGGCAACGCTACAGGGAGGCGAGATGACTATCCAGACGACGCAGGCTTCAGAGGCCACGCAGGCGGTGGCATCGTTGGCAGAAGCAGCGGTGGCAGCATCTCAAGAGATGCAGCAAGGAGCAACTGTTACCATGGCACTCAACAGGTATGTGTGCGAAGGGGAGCCATGGGGATTGGGAAGGAACACAGTCTTTGAGAGGCTCTTTTCCATTAGGTTGGCTTTGTCACACTCAGGAGCAGTGCAGAAAACACTGATACATTCAGAAGAACATTTTCTGTGGTCTCAATAGAGACTTTTCCCACCATGAATTCCAAACCCACCGAGAGCCCAGGTATTCACAGATCATTTCCTGGTATCCCTTTGTAATATGAGGAGGGCTAGTGAAATGGAAATGTACCATGAGGAGGGTGCATTCAGTCCCCATCCTTCTCGAGAGAGCCTGTTTGTATAGTGAGTGTCCAATTACAGAAATGAGCTTGCCATGCAGGTAGGGGCCATCAGGTGCTGTGAACACCTGTTGAGTAAGCTGCTCCATTGCTCTGTCAATATGGTCAAGGGCCTCTCTGTTAAAGGGATAAAGTTGGTTTTATTAGGTATCTGGCAGTATTGGTCTCTGAGCGGAAATCAGGCGGCCAACTGTTGAAGGTGGTTGCCCTGTTTGCTACTGGAGGAGAATGATAGGATTGTAGGAAAGTAGGGCCCACACATGATAATCTAGTCCCAGCGCCCTCCTTAAGGCAGCATCGTCCCTGATTAAACCATCTCAGCCAAGTGTCTGTCTAAGTTAACGATTGATGACATTTCCTTCTGCCTAGGGAAGAACTTGATTTGTAGTGAGCTGTGTTGGTTGTGTTTTTAGGCAGAAAGGCATCTTGACACATTGTGTGTGAAGAAGTGGTCTGAGAGTGAGGTGGGGTAGCAGCCTTGTAAAGGTTAAAAGCTTTTCTTTGAAGACCTGCTGAGGAAGGTGTTGAGTGAGAAGAATCAGACAGCCCAGCCATGAGGAGAGGGGGAAGGATGTGAAGGGTATGGTTCAGAAGGACTTTTTGTCTGATCCTGCATTGGGGTTTTCTTATTCATGCATCTTATCTGGTCTCTGCATTTGCCCTGTCTCCTTGTTCTTTGGGTCCCTAGTTGAATATGTCAAGAAAAGAGTGAGCAAAGTATGGTGGGTGGTTAGTGTGGGGTTCCAGGAACCCTGTTCAGTCATTGTTGAAACAACCACCATCATGCCTGTGATATTCCACAGTCAGATTTGCAATGTCCACTGCAACTGGCTCAAGGGCAAACCTACAACTGTTTCCTCTGCGTGTAGAGGAAATCACCTTCTCTCTCTTTCCCCCCACTCTCCTTACCCCATATCATCCCCTTTGGCACCCAGTGGGAAGAGCCAGGTAAAATATCCTCTTCTCATAGGCTGAAGGTAGTGCCTGCGCTTTGTTTCAGCAAGAGGTTTGGACTTGGACTGAGGGAATGGAGTCCCATCTGCCACCACGTTAAACTGATTCCCCTCTGTTTTTATTTTTGGCTGCTGATAAAAGACCTGTTGTCTGTAAGAGGAAAGTTCCTCTTTAAACATAAGTGGGCAAATCTTGCAGGAGGAATGGCTAAACTTGTTCAGGGAACCCTAGGAAAGGCAAAGCCACACACACTGCTTCCCGGGCCATGCAGTGGTCATTGTGAGCTTCCTGCAGGGACTCAAGGGATGAGGTGCAACCCTTAGTCTAGAGGACACGGAGATGCGTGTGTTAGCAAACTTGTCAGGAGTCGTCAGTGGGTGGTTATCTAGTATTGGCCGTGGATGGTCCTGTGTTTGATTTCACCCCATCATTGCTAGTTAAACCTCTTTAGAGCCATAATAATAAATTCCTCCCCCCCACCCCTGCATGGCCTGTGACCTTCTAATACTTGCATATTGCAATGAGTCACTACACCAACGGTTCTCCACCTTTTTGGGCACGAGGTGCCCCTTATTGGACATGAGGTGCCCTTCCATCACCTTTGTGAAGTGAGCAGACCCAAATTTGAAATAACTAATTTATATATTGCAGGACTTGCCTCCTTGTAGATGAGGAGGCAGTTGGGGTGTGGGATTGTCTAGCCAGGAACAAGCTTGAGCCTTCTCATACCTTGCTTATCTCCTCACACCTTGTGACATCCTTCAGAGGACCTAGCAGTTCCGTCAGGTGCCATGGCACCCCGGCTGAGAATCATTGCATTACACCGACAGCATCCAGGGGTGAATGCATAGCCCCATCCGTATCTAGAAACCAGCTCCGCAGACAATGACCACAATGACCACTGCATGCCTTTTCATAGGACCTTCTCTCCCGCACATGCCCCTGCATGGCTTGCCCCACCCTTAGTTAGAGGCAGCTTAGATGACAGGTTTATTAACTTTAAATATCAGGATCCTTCACAGAAATATCTATCCCCTCTTAAACTCTAGTGACAAAGCCAGGGAACCCTGCATCGTGTCTTTGCTTCACCAGCTTAGCCTTTCAGGAGGAAGGTGGAGGTGGCCCTCACTTTGCCTCACATTTCAAGGCTTTCAGTAGATGTTTTCCGTGCTTCAGGGTGGCTGTTGGTAGGAAACTGTGTGCACTACAGGGGAAAATGTAGAGCCCGATCCAGGCTCCTGTGCTGTCATGGTGCAGGTCACTTTCTGATGGCAGCGCTGTAATGGTGCCCCAGGAGGGCTTGTTAGCAAGCCACAGTACAGCTGAGCTGATTCAGGGGCTCTCCATATATAAGGGAGAATATGACTGCCTGCACAAATGCCTGGAAGTGTTGAGGTGTTAGCATTGGCAGCAGTCAGGAAGGGGAGGTGTATATTGAATATTTTTGCAGGGGTTATGGTGAGGTTTCTGCAGGCACAGCCACTTTTCCCTGGCATTGTATTCCTTACTATAGGCTCCATGATAGAGCCACCAGCCTACCGAGACCCTTAGGCCCCTGGCACATGTTAACATAATTGTCTGATCTTGCCAATCAGCTGATCCTTGGGATTGGGTAGGGCAACCCCAGATCCAGCACATGCCACACCTCCAGTTTAAAGTGCGATTGCAAATCAGCCGTAAAGATGTTCCCGATTTAATCTTTGTGGCTGGTTTGCCATTATCGCACCACAGATTGGCTGAACATGTGGCATGTTACAGTTTATCAGCCAGTGAGCATGTTAATCATGCAATAAATCTGACAGGGCGCTTAATATCTTTCACTGATTGGCAAGACATCTTGCTATGAGTTGACTGAAGGAGTGTGCTCCACATTTAACACTGAATCATCCTTGTGGCTGCACTTGGGAGAGTGAGACCATGGTCTGGCATCTGGAAGATCAGAGTTCTCTTACAAGATCTCCAAAGCTATTGGAGTGGTGCTTTGCGCCTCACAGTGCTTAAGGAGCATGGAGTTGCCATCCCATAACCCATCCCTCCGTCAGGTGCTGGCAGAGAGCATGGGTGTGTCCAGTGGTCACCTGCAGAGCAGAGCCATTGTAAACGACTGATGTGCACCAGCTGTGATGGGTGGGGGAATCTGTGGTATGGATCTGTGAAGCACTGGAACAGGTCACCCAGAGAGGTGGTGGACTCTCCATCCTTGGAGGTTTTGAAGACCCAGGTAGACAAAGCCTTGGCTGGGATGATGTAGCTGGGGCTGGTCCTGCTTGGAGCAGGGGGTTGGACTAGATGTGACCCCCTGAGAGCCCTTCCAACCCTCATTATCTGTGATTCTGTGAACTGAAGATGAGAAGCAGTAGACTCTTCCAGGAAGAGAAGATGAGGGTCTGTGTGTAGGCAGACTTAACCCCTGCCAATATGCAGTATCCTGAGTGGAGCACAATGCAAATGGGAGGAATGTTTATGCGGCAAAGATTTATGTTCAGGGTTACAGCCTTCATGGCTCTTTGAAATAAACAGTTGCCCTTGAAAGTGAATTTAAATAAATCCTTCTCATGGCTGGAAGGCTGCCTTACCGTAGCAAGCTAAGTCCTCGTTCATCCCTGACTTTACTGTATTATTGTTGCCTTTCCCACACTGTAAATGTCTTTATGCCAGTGCAGTCATGCATTCCTCCTAGGTGACAGGAAGTAGAGAAGCAAGAAATTGGAATTAAAATGGTTAAATAGCAATGTATGAGAAGTTTGCCAAGACAAATGGCTTTCCAGTAGAAATGAGAATCCAACCCAAGAGAATCCAGTTAAAAGGAGCGTAAAACCCAAATAAAAATTAGAAACAGACAAGCATAGTTTTATAGTTTCATAGTAGGTAGGGTCGGAAGGGACCTGAGCAGATCATCAAGTCCGACCCCCTGCCGTGGGCAGGAAAGAGTGCTGGGGTCAAGTGACCCTGGCTAGGTGATTATCTAGCCTGCTTTTGAAGACTGCCAGGGTAGGAGCGAGGACCACTTCCCTTGGAAGTTGGCTCCAGATCCTAGCCGCCCTGACTCTGAAGTAGTGCCTCCTGATATCCAGCCTGAATCTACTCTGTCAAGCAATAGCAAGACTGCAAAAATAAATCAGTTGGAGTACTGGAATATGAATGGCACTGTTAAGGAAGGGTGTCTTGTATGATGACTTTGCATCACTCCTCACCATAGAAACTGTTGAGGATTTTCTCACATACTTACAGCGAAGAACTGTCAGATCCTGCTTTCAAAAGAAGGAGGTTCTGGATCATATTTATGAAAGGCAAATCACTGGGTGTGGGTGATAGTCACCGAGAGTTGTAAAGACCTTGGAGAGCTGAGAGAGTTGTAAAGACCTTGGAGAGCTGAGCCACTAACGGGATAACAAATGACTAATGAACAGAGCTGGGGAGAAACAAGCCTTTTAGCTTGCTTTAAGGAAGGCAGGCAGGACAATCCTGGGAAAAACAGACCAGTGAATGATACTTAAGGGCAAGGTAAAGTGGTTGAATGATAAATAAAGGCATAATTTAAAAACACTTAAGTGCCTGCGATGATGGAGATAGATTAGCATGGTTTCTGTGCAGGGAGTTTCTGCCTCTTCAGTCTGTTGGAATTCGTTGAGCATCCAACAAAACAGTGGCCAAAGGGAAGCTGCTTGATATAACTGACCTGGACTTGCTAGAAAGCCTTTGGCAAAGCCTTGTGTGAAAGGCTACTCAAGAAGCTGAGTGTGAGTTAAGAGGGATTTTTAGACTAAGAGAAAAGTACATATGGGATGGGCCAGTTGGGTTATCTTGTTCTCATTTCATCATTCCTCCACTAACAGGATCCATTCCTGCAGGATAATTTCAGCTGTTTTGAGCTGGTGAGAGCACCCATCCACCCTAGTTCGTGTTCCCTGCGTGCGACACTTTGTTCAGGTGGATCCTGTTGGAGATGGGTTGCTTTCCTTCTAATCAGCCTCACCCTTTCTTGTTCTCTGCCTGCAGTGAAGCAGCTGCCCATGCTGTAGCCACGCTTGCAGAAGCCACACTTCAAGGTGGCGGGCAGATCGTCCTGTCTGGTGAAACGGCCGCGGCAGTGGGAGCGCTCACCGGAGTCCAGGATGCCAATGGTAAGAGGGGAGCGCAAGTGAGTTGGGTTGTGTTTGGTTTCCAGTGGGTGGAATAATTCACATGCTTATTTGCTGCCACTGTGAGGGGGTGACTCTTTGCAGGGGTAGTACCTTCCACCTCTTCTGCATCAGACACTTCCCTAGAGAATGCTTCCTGGCTGTATCTTTCCCCATAAGGTAGTGCAGTCTGCTGCTTGCTTGCTTTATGGGCCCTTCTGTAATGCATCTCAGTTGTATCTGGTCCATGCAGTGGTTTCTCTAATTAGCAAATCACAGGTTGCTGAAGTGGTGATGGTTATTAACTCTGTAATAATGCAACATGGAGCAAGTGGAAACCAGCCACATGTCCTGGGTTCCTGTTAGGCCTTGGCTCAGGTGCTGCAGTGAGCAAAACACTGCTTCCCGTGTTCTGGGATTAAATGAATTGGTTATTTAAAGGACTTGGTTACGCGACTGAACCAGCAAGCATCTTACAACCTGGACAGTTGTGAAAAAATGCTGCCTTGAAGGACTGGTCCATTTTAAATGTAGTCCTCAAAGTGGAGAGTGGCACATAACGAGGTTACTGGGTGATGGGCACTGAAGCTTTTTTGTTTGTTCTGCTAGTAATTTGGGTCTCAAATTCGGCCTCTGCTGAAATAATTCTAGTCTAGTCTTTAGTATTTTTAAATTGCTCCCCATCAGGCATGAGAAATGCAAGGGGGAAAAACAGCAGCGTTTTTTGTTGCTGATGGTACATTTGTTGTTACTTTCTGGGGAGCCGGATGACCTAGAGAGGGAGCCCAAAGTAACCAGCAGGCCCTTTTCCGAAAATGGGGAACTTAGGTGTTGCTCTTGACAAAGAAGTCAGGGACTTGGCACCACAGCCGAGCGTGGAGGTGGCCGGAAAGCCGTGCTTCCCCAGGGAGAGGCGCAGCAAGGAATGTGATGCCTTTTTCAGCCTTCCAGAAGGGTTTTGCCATTGATCAGATTTGGAAGAGGCCATCTGTGTCCTTTCAGAAGTTAAAAGCGGGTGAGCGAACCTGGTGTGCCAGTCCCCTTCGATCCATTTTCACCGTGCTTTCGTGCTCTGGATTCCTCTGGGCAGTTCCGTGTCTCCCTAGGCTCCGAGCCATTCTGCCTCATTCGGGCAGCATTAAAATGGTTTCTAATGCGCGCAGGTTTTACAGCAGGGTTTGAAATCAAATGGGATTTACAGTGCATTAAGGGGAGAGGCTCATTTGCGGCATTTTCCTGTGTGCAGAACCTCGCCCGAGATCCCTCCCCTTGTTTCCTCTCCCCTTCGATCGCTCTAATCTCTGGTGGTATTAAAAGGAAAGGCTTTGTCTCTGCAGCAGGCCTTGCATGCACTGGGCAGTTAGTTTGACGGGAGGGAAGGAGACTGCAGCATCCATTGCTGCCCTGCTAGCTGGGCACGGAGGGATTTTCAGCCTTGATGTTGCACTTTAGATTAGTCTCCTTCCTTCCCCAAGCATCCCAGCTGATGGGCAGAGCCATAGCGGGCTGAGCTGCTGCAGGTTAGCTCATGTACTGCAGGGGGAGAGCATGTACCCAAGGAGTTACCGCAGAGTAGCTGCACTGCCTGTCCCCACCCTCCTTCACCTTGTAGACCCACTTTCACCTCCAGCAACCTGCCTTTAGGTCCACGGCCCCACTGACAGCAGGGCACGGAGCCCAGGTGTCCTCACTTCTGGTTCTTTCCTTCTGGGAGGGATTCTCCCCTTCCTTGGTTCCTCCATTACATGGTTATTTTTCCATGTGCTGCCAGGAGACCAGATGATCATTAAAGCAATGCGTCCCTTATAGGAGAAGCAGGCTGATTTATAAAGAGAAGCTTCTGTCTCTACCTAGACATAGTGGTGACCAGAACTGGATTCATTATTACAGAGGACAGGGAGCCAAGCACTGTGGCTGGACTGAAAAAGGCCCGCGGATAATCTTATGATCAGTAAAATTTATAGCTAAGGGAAACCAAATCTCCTGCCTTGGTGCAGTGTAAAACTAGCTAAGTGCATTACAGCCGGCTCGTTCTTCTAGAGCATCTGCCATTGTGAGAGGTAGCACGCTGGCCCTGACGTCCCATGAGTTGGAGCCCTCATCTCAGAGGCACGTTCTTAAATACTTGGAAAGAAAATAGCATGGTGCTGCTGGCAAATGGATGGGGCTGCAGCGCAGGGGCTCTGAGAGGGGACAGCCAAGGCCGAGATGGGTTAGATACCTGCTGGCAGATAGGCGCAGCACTGGTATCCGGGAAGGTGCAGACCCAATAGTCAGAGGCAGCTCATGCCTGGGTTTGCAGCAGTAGTTTAACAGCACGGGAAAGTGAGATGAGGAGAGACCCCAGAGTAGCCCTGCTCCCCCTTTGCAGGTTGCCGTCGTTCCCCTGGGCTCAGACGTCTTTGGTTATGAGCTGTCAGTGGGGTTTTGTTTGTGATAGTGGTGCCTTAGTGACGCGTGTGGGGCTTGGAGCATGCACCATGCAGGTCGGTGGATGCAGGGTGCCAGAGACGGGGCCTCCCCAGTGGGTATGTTGCACAGCTAGCCTGGAGGGGCCAGCTGTCATTACAACTGGAATGGCCTGAAGACTGGAGCAGGGAAAGGAGCCAGGGCTGCCGAGCAAGGACCTTGCCTCCATCTCTGTAGCAGATGAGATCAGACTGCAAATGGGGGGCTGATAAGACCAACCCTGGCAGTGCGAGCTCAGCATGTCCACCCCCAAGGATATCCTCGGTCCTGACCTGTAGCACCCCTGCCCTGCAGCTCCTGAGCCCTGTGGGGGGCTCTGCTGAGGGACCTCCATCTTGCTCAGCAACCCCTCCTGACCAGGGGCACTGCCAGGCATGCCTGCTGTCACAGGGGCTGTGTGAGACAGTCCCAGGTAGGAGCCTGCCAATGAGCTGCAAAATTATCACTCCCCGTTTTGAGCCAGACCAAAGTGAGACAGGCCGAGAGCCCAGGGTGAGCCGGGATTAGCAGGCTGTGATAAAAGCAGGGCGAGAGCATTAGGACGGTTTGACGTGCACACGGGGGGATTATCAGTCGGGGCTTTTGCAAACAGAAAGGAAATAAGGCATCGGGGTGGAAAGGCAAGTTAGCATCTGACAAGTTAGCATGGGGTAACTGGTGCTTGGCTC